TGCTGCACCTGCCGTTTTGACCTGTCTCTTTGAATGCCATAGCAGGGCCAATTGCTAACTGGGAAATGTAGGAAAAGGAGACCCTGTTGAATTGGAAGGATAGTTCAAGTGTTGTGGATAGTTCTAGGGTGGTGAAGAAAAGCAGAAGATAAATTGCTGAATGCTGATGATCTTTTGAAACTTAAGTTAATGTTTATATACAAGTGTTGCCTGTCAGCCAAAGGTCTTCTGTGTTTGCAATCATGGTAATACTTTAAACCGGTCCTTTTCAACCTTGGCAACTTTACGATGTGTGGACTCCCAGAATTCCCCCCCACCGGAAGTTGAAGCAGGGGTGAAATCCAGGAGGGTCTGACAGGTTCTGGAGAACTGGTAGCGGAAATTTTGAGTAGTTCGGAGAACTGGCAAATACCACCTCTGGCTGGCCCCAGAGTGGGGTGGGAATGGGGATTTTGCAGTATCCTTCCCCCAAGAGTAGGGAGGAAATGGGGATTTGGTAGTATCCTTCCCCTGGAGTGGGGTGGGAATGGAGATTTTGCAGTATCCTTCCCCTGCCACACCCATCAAGCCACACCACACCCACCAAGCCACGCCCACAGAACCGGTAGCAAAAAAATTTAGATTTCACCACTGAGTTGAAGTCCACACATCTTAAAGTCACCAAGGTTGAAAAGCACTGGTTTAAACAATATATAAATAATAGCACCAGTGCATCTTAGGCATTGCTATGTTCTTAAGGATCTTTGGGTGGATTAAATGCCTTCAAATTTGATTTTGGAATGGAAAAGCAGACGCAGTAGAAATATGGGTAGTCCTCAACTTACAACAGTTCATTTAGTGACTGTTCGAAGTTACAACAGCACTGAAAAAAGTTCATTTTTCATACTTATGACCATTGCAACATCCCCATGGTCACGGGATTGACATTCGGATGCTGGACAACTGGTTCATATTTATGACGGTTGTAGCGTTCAGGGGTTGTGTTGCGACCTTCTGACAAGCAAAGTCAATGGGGAAACCAGATTCACTTAACAACCATGTTACTAATTTAACAACTGTAGTGATTCGTGTAACCAATGTGGCAAGAAAAGTCGTAAAACGGAGCAAAACTCACTTAACAAATTTCTAACATAGCAAGATGAATTCCAGGCTCAGTTGTGGTCGTATGTCGAGGACTACCTGTAAAAGGAGAAACTGAAAAGAAAAAAAAAAGATCTGCAAAATATTAAGGATAGAAAATTTGCTTCCGGTTCCTGCCATGTGATCATGGTGAAGCTGTTTTGAGTTCCATCAAGCAGGATTGGGCAGAAAGAGATTTGTTTCACCTCATGGCGTTCTCATTTTTTTCTAGGCATCTGGCAGTGGAGAAAGAGAGAGTTGCTTCTGCTAAGACGGACGAAATTCTCTCTCTGAGTCTGTGAAGGTCCAACTCCCCATGGAGGCCATCCCGGAAGAGGATGAAAATGCGAGCTTGCTGGGTAAGAGAATTTGGGCATCTGGACCAAGACACTTCGCACCCTGAAACAAATAATAAAGAGGGAATTTCTTGCTCATTCCATGTCCAGGCCACCTCTGGGACTGGGAAGTAGATCTTACTTCCATACAGCTAGTCTTTCACTTACAACATTTAGTGACTGTTTGAAGTTACAACGGCACTGAAAAAAGTGACTTACATCCATTTTCCAGACGTACAACCATTGGAGCACCCGTGTGGTCAGGTGATTAAAATTCAGACACTTAGCAGCTGGCTCATGTTCATGATGGTCCCAGGGTCACGTGATTCCCTTTTGCGACCTTCTGACAAGCAAAGTCAACGGGGAAGCCTGATTCACTTAACAAGTGAAGGCCCTACACACAGTCACTCATGCCCTCGTTACCTCTTGTCTGGACTATTGCAACGCTCTCTACATGGGGCTCCCCTTGAGGTGCACCCAGAGGCTCCAACTGGCGCAGAGTGCGGCCGCGCGGGTGGTGATGGGAGCGACATGGAGTTCCCATGTAACATCTCTCCTGCGTGAGCTGCACTAGCTCCCGGTGGTCTTCCGAGTGCGCTTCAAGGTTCTGGTTATCACCTTTAAAGCGCTCCATGGCTTAGGACCTGGTTATTTACAGGACCGCCTGCTACCACCAATAGCCTCCCACCGGCCAGTACGCTCCCATAGAGAGGGGCTCCTCCGGGTGCCGTCGGCCAAACAATGTCGGCTGTCGGCCCCTAGGGGGAGAGCCTTCTCTGTGGGGGCACCTACGATCTGGAACGAGCTCCCCCCGGAGATACGTAGGATCCCGGATCTGCACACCTTCCGCCGCGCACTTAAGACTTTTCTATTTCATCAAGCTGGCCTGGCCTAAATCTTCCCCCTTTTTAAATGTGGAAATTTTAAATGTGGAAATTTTAAATTTTAAATTTGTCTTATTTATAGGGTCATGGGTAAGGCGTTTTAAATTGGGGAGCCATTTTGGATTTAATTCTGTTTTAAACGTATTTTAATGTTTATATTGTATGTTTTTAATTTTGGCTGTTCACCGCCCCGAGTCCTTCGGGAGAGGGGGTGGTATAAAAATCTAATAAATAAACAAACAAACCATGTCACTAACTTAATAACTGCAGTGATTCACTTAACAACTGTGGCAAGAAAAGTCATAAAATGTGGCAAATCTCACTTAACAAATGTCTCACTTAGCAACATAAACTTTGGGCTCAGTAATGGTCGTAAGTTGAGGACTAACTCCAGCGGTGATGGGGAAGTACCCTGAACCGCATTCAAGCAAGCAGGCTTAATTCAGAGGCCAAGCCGGGTACCTGGCTTTGTCCTTTAAGAACGCTGTCAGAAAATGTCTGAAGATCAGCTTCCTGCAAATAGTGCTTTGCTTTGCTTAATTGGCAGGGCTGATCCTGCAATTCGGAAACAGCCAGTTTTTTGCCATGATTCCTGGTGTAAGTTCAGAGCAAGGAATATTAAATATTAAAAGGAATATTAGCAACAAGATTATTGAGGCCGTGTTTATGTGCGTGGGTGTATTAAAAAAAAGTTAAAGGTAACTGTGACTGCACAACTGAAGCCCTGTCCCCTTTTGTTATAAAAGGTAAAGGTAAAGATTCCCTTCGCATATATGTGCTAGTCGTTCCCGACTCTAGGGGCGGTGCTCATCTCCATTTCAAAGCCGAAGAGCCAGTGCTGTCCGAAAATGTCTCCGTGGTCATGTGGCTGGCATGAATAAATGCCGAAGAAGCACAGAACGCTGTTACCTTCCCACCAAAGGTGGTCCCTATTTTTCTACTTGATTTTTTACATGCTTTCGAACTGCTAGGTTGGCAGAAGCTGAGACAAGTAACGGGAGCTCACCCCATTACTCAGCACTAGGGATTCGAACCGCTGAACTGCCGACCTTTCGATCGACAAGCTCAGCGTCTTAATCACTGAGCCACCACGTCCTTTTGTTATACATGGGTTTTAAAAAAAGGTAGGCAGGGCTATGACTATGGCAGACTTTTATTATTTTTTAAACTTCCGTGTGGAGGCTTGTGGTGATCAGGAAAATAAGTCCAATGTAGAAAAGATGTAGGTGGTGGGAAACTCACAGGATGGATTCACGCAACAAATATACAGTTAGCCCTCAATACATGACCACAACTGAGCCCAAAATTTCTGTTGTTAAACAAGATGGTTGTTAAGTGAGCTTTGCCCCATTTTACGACTTTTCTTGCCACAGTCTGTCAGCACTTCAAGCTGCATTTACTCTAGTGCTGACATAAGAAGGAGAAGTGGAGGCGTCTGGAAAGGGACGATTGACTTTTCACCTACTTATTTTCCCTGGAGATAATATTCCCTAGGAGATGGGATGGGAGGGGGGAAATTCCTTTGAGCTGGAGAAGTAGATTAGGGGTAGAGTGACTTGGAAGATGGCCAATGAGTGCAGAGGAGTGGGGAAAGGGAGGGTTTTGGGTCAGGAAGTCAGTGTTGGCTATGATGGAGTCGGAGTTAGAATGTCGTGCTTAATAAATGGGAGTTTTTCATCAAAGACTTTGTTTGAAATACAATTTATTTGAGACGACATCGAAACCTGAGACAGTCGTTACATGAATCACCACAGTTCTAATAAATTATGTCTAAGTCAGTGTTTCTCAACCTTGGAAGTTGAAGATGGGTGGACTTCAACTCCCAGAATCCCCCAGCCAGCACTGCTGGCTGGGGGATTCTGGGAGTTGAAGTCCACCCATCTTCAAGCTACCAAGGTTGAGAAACACTGGTCTAAGTTAATAACACAACTGTTAAGTGAATCTGACTCCCTCATTGACTTTGCTTGTCAGAAGGCCACAAAAGGGGACCACACGACACTTCAACCGTCATCAACATGAGCCAGTTGCCAAGCATCTGAATTTTAATCACGTGACCATGGGAAATGCTGCAATGGTTGTGAGTGTGAAAACGGTCATAAGTCACTTTTTTCATAACTTTGAATGGTCACTAAACGAATGGTTGCAAGTCAAGGACTACCCCATTGAGTCACTAACCCTTTCAAGGGTGTCTTACGTTTGGATTGGGCAGCCTTTGGTCATGGTGGCTGGGGAATTCTGGGAGTTGAAGTCCACCTAAAAGTTGCTAAGATTGAGAATTGCTGCTCCAATTCTCCCTGGATCCTTCACTGACTCAGTGAAGGGTGTTGCGTGTGGGAAATAGCCACTGAGCAGACAAACCAACGGCATATGGCACCTTTCATATTCCTGTCACCCATTGGCTGCTTTTTTTTATTATTATTCCTGCAGGTAACGGGGAAGTGACAGAGCCCGAAGTGGCAACCTGTTGGATGGTGAGGCCTGACTATATGGAATTCAACGGGGATTTGCTGGAGGAAAACATGTATGAGTTTCCTGGGATATCTATGGTTGAGGAGGGGAGCCATTCAGAAGCTGCAGTAGAAGCGGCTTCCTTTTGTGCAAAAGGCCCAGGCTGTACCAGCACCATCCCAGACTCCTTTAACGACCAGAAATCCACAGTTAGAGAGAAACCCTACAAGTGCTCATTCTGTGGGGAAAGTTTCAAGCAGCGTTCGTACCTGGTCAAACACGAGAGAACCCACACGGGAGAAAAACCCTACAAATGTTCGGTGTGTGGGAAAAGCTTCAGCCAGAGCTCCCACATCATTACGCACGAGAGGACTCACACGGGAGAGAAACCCTACCAGTGCTCGGACTGCGGGAAGAGCTTCAACCGCAAAGCCAACCTCCTGGCGCACGAGAGGACCCACACGGGGGAGAAACCTTACGCCTGTTCGGATTGCGGCAAGTGCTTCAGCCAGAGCTCGTGGCTGATGGCTCATAAAATCATCCACACCGGGGAGAAACCCTTTAAGTGTTTGGTCTGCGGGAAGCGCTTCAATAACCGCTCGAGTCTCATTAAACACAAGAGGTCCCACTCGGAAGAGAAACCCTACATTTGCTCAGACTGCGGGAAGTCCTTCAAGGAGAGCTCTAAGCTTATTAAACACCAAAGGATTCACACGGGCGAGAAGCCGTACCGGTGCCCGTTGTGTGGCAAAGGTTTCTGCTTCAAATCCAGCCTGAGCCAACACGAGCGAACGCACACGGGAGAGAAGCCCTACGCGTGCTGTGTTTGCGGGAAAACCTTCCGGCAGAAGTCGCATCTCATCAGGCACGAGAAGATGCACATGGGAGACAAATCCTACCCCTGTTGAGACTGCCAAAAAGCCATCGGCTGGGGGCTCCAGGTAGCACAGGATAATATGTGTTCTCCCTGCAGGGAGAGATACGGCTGAAGTTCTGCCAGCAGCCCCTGTGGTCTTAGAAGGAAGGACGAAAAAACAAATGAATTGGAAGGACAGTGATCTGGGACTTGAAACAAATTCATTTTAGCCTGCTTTGTAAATCTTTTTGCAATTTTCTTTTTTTTCTAATAAAAGGAAACCAAAGTAGATCTCCGAACTTAGTCTGTCCGTCCTTGTTTCAAGCTTCTCAATCTGCCCAGAGTTATGCTTTGAGGTAAGATGGCTGACCTGTAAATCTATATATATAAAAGCGAAAAGCACTCATGCATTAATCACAAAATATCCAGAACCGTAAAGCCTACAAACTTGAAATTTGCCACGTATGTTCCTCTTGGCTTCTAGGTGCTCACTAAGAAAGGATGTTTTGAAATGACCACTAGGGCATTAGTATTTCCTATATTATTATTAACACGCTCTGATGCTAAGAAGTTCTACTCACCCTCCCTACCTGAAAAGAAATCTGTTCCACACTCTGATGCTAAGGACTTCTACTCCCCCTCCCCACCTGGAAAGAAATTTGTTCCAAATGCAAAACACAAGCAGAGGAGAGGAGTTTCACTTTCATTTTTACTTTCACAGCAGCAAGCAGCTTTACTACAGAACAGTTCAGCTAAGCCATGCCCAGCCTCCTTGCTCACACAGGAAATACTGTTTTGAGTTTCCAAACACCCCTCAACTCTCTCACACACTGACAGGATGCTAGCCAGATGAATACCGATGGATGCTGTGGGCTGGGATATTCTGCTTCCACTCCCCCTCTGTTCCAACTGCCAGTTGCATTATATTAACACACTGATGCTATGGAGTTACACATTCTACATTAAGTTTCAGGCTGTAAGTGTCAATTTATCAAGCCTGAGCACATAGTTCTGTAGCGAAGCACAGGTAGCCAGTTAGTTTGATATATAAGTAAATAAAATATAGAGTCGATCTCCTTAGCAGTCCTGATTAGCAGGGGGGCTGCTTCCTCCTTCCAAGGAGGGCCTCTTGCAGAAATTGAGGAGGGGGGGGAGAAAGAGGCTGACCCAATGAAGGGAAAACGGGTAAAGGGGAAGTGATGTCCTAAATAACAATTACACTGCAGTGTGTTTTGTGACTGTGGGACTGCGTTGGAGGTAGTTCTTATACAGAGGTAGGATTCCCTTCCCTTCCCTATCGGTTTGCAAATGTGAGCCTTTCGTGCATGTGCACGGCCTCCAAAACGTGGCTAAATAGGACAGCATTACGTACTGGTGAGTGGGTGTGGCCTACCGCAGTCGCCGTTTGCCCAAACCGGACAGAACCCGCTGAATCCCATCAGTTTTTATATCACCTCTTATCAGTGGTGGGTTGTCCCAGTTCGGTCTGGTTCTATCGAACCGGTAGTAAAACCGCCAGGAGGCTCCGCCCACCCACCACGACGTTGTCATGGGTAATCTGCACATGCGCGCGCGGTCCCATTGCAAACCGGTAGTAAAGGTAAGTAGAACCCACCCCTGCTTCTTATCATATTGAAGGTGATTCGCATTAGTCATTAAAACACGAGGATTTTTTAAGTAATTGTACTATAAAGCCCCCTGCTATAACTTAAGAAAGGCCACAGAGAGGATCAAAAATATTTCCCAATAGAATCATATATAATTCTTGCACTATTAACATACACAATCCCAGTTTAATATATTAGTAAGCAATACAAATTTTGGTTAAGTTTTAATAAAAGTATATCAGGGTGAAGTGGAATTGAAACTTTCAACATTTCTTTCATGCCACGCTAAATTATTTTCCTATTATTGTTCAGCTTTGCAGCACATAAGGAAGGAGTCAATTTATTTAATGCATTTGCAGCATTTGATAGAAAATGAGATACTCATCTTGGCAACCAAGAATGAAGTAAGATACTAGTAATAAAGTGTCTTACACCAAGTTACCCCAAGTAGATTTTTTAAAGTTTGAAGTACAGGTAGTCCTCAACTTAAAACCACAAATTTCTTTTGCGAAGTGAAACATTTGTTAAGTGAGTTTTGCCCCATTTTACGACTTTTCTTGCCACAGTCATTAACTGAATCACTGCAGTTGGTAAATTAGTAACACTAATTTAAGTGAAACTGGTTTCCCCATTGACTGCTTGGCAGGAGGCTGCAAAAGGAGATCACATTACCAAGCATCTGAATTTTGATCACCTGACCGTGGGGATGCTGCAACAGTCATAAGTGTGAAAAATGGTCATAAGTCACTTGTTTCAGTGGTGATGTAACTTTGAACGGTTGCTAAATGAACTGTTGTACTACCTGTACATTCAAACTTCCATTTTCCATTGGAATTCCCACTGCTCCACCTCTAAAACTATATTAAAATTTTGCATTCGTTTAATCATAGTTTTTTTTAACCTCTTCAGAACTGTAATCCACTAATAAATTCAAATCGAGAAGTGCTAAATTGTGAAAAAGGAAACATTGGAGACATCAGTAGCCTTTCTCCAACAGATGACACTTGTTGTCTCTTAAAAGGAACAACATTTAAAAGAGGTACAACTGTTGTGGTCTGCCAGCAGCCAGTGGAGCTGGCAGCGGAGTCGGACAGCGATGAGGCTGAGGAAGAACATGGGCCAGTCCTGGAGGCTGGGGAAGGCCCAGATGAAGGCTCTGCATCGGAGGCAGAGATGAGGCCAGGGCCATCGGGGAGTGAGGTGTGGACTACAGAGCCTCCAGAGGCTGACAGCAGAGAGGCAGAGGAACAGAAGGACCCTGTTCCTAGTGCACGTATGAGAAGTGCTGCCAGAAGGCAGGAGCAGCTAAAGCAGAGAGGACAACTTGGGAGTAGGGCCAAGAGATGATTGGCCCCTCCCATAAGGCTTAAAACAGACCAGCAATGGCATTTGGGCTTTGCCGGAAAACAACGTTGGTAGCTTTGTCTTCTTCATCGTCTACGGCTTGTATTTATTTTTGTATCTGTGACTTCTGAACGTTTGCCAAGAAAGGCCTTTGGCAGTTTGCCTAATTGGACAAGGTTTGAGGTAGGACTGAAGAATTTGTGTTGGGAGGAATTTGCTTTTAGAACATCATTTAAAAGAGGTACAACCTCTTACAACTCGACTTACAACCCTTCATTTAGTGATTCTTCGAAGTTAAAACGGCAGTGAAAAAGGTGACTTATGACCGTTTTTCATGCTTATGGTCCCCATAGTCACATGATCAAAATGTCAGGTTTTTTCTGACAGGAAGGAAAATATGAAAGGGGAGAAGACCGCCAGTGCCATCAAAATTCAAATTTTTCAAACATGACTTCTGCAGTTTATCCATCGGGTAAAAGGTCTAGTTCATGGGTGTCAAACTCAAGACCCGTGGGCCAGATTCGGCCTGTGGGGTGCTTAAATCTGGCCCTCGGGCCCACCCTGAAAACAGCAAAGGACCAGCCTGCGGTGCCTCCGCCAGTGCAAATGGAGCCCAGGCGGGTCAACACACAGCCTCCCCGAGCTCTGTTTTTGCTGGCAGAGGGCTGCAGGAGGCCATTGCGGCCGAAAACGGAGCCTCGGTGAGTGACGTGGAGCTGGGCATGCCTACCCTGGCTACACCCCCAGCCCCCCAAGGCCAAACACAACCCTGATGTGGCCCTCAATGAAATTGAGTTTGACACCTCTAATCTAGTTCATGAAATTGGAATGTCAAAATGGCTTTTTGAGAATCAGTTGCAGGCTTCTTTACAACTTCCCAGGATTCCTGTGGACCATCATGCTTTCTCTACAACCAAGGTATTTTTTGCAACAAAAAATGCTCACCTGTTCTTCTTTTGCAGCAACACACAACTGCCTAGTAACCTTATTCTTCCATCCTCCATTTCAAGAACAGTCTGATCGGCAGGCGGTTCTTCCTTCAGCCTTGTAGGTTGCAGGACGGGAATGGGGAACTGACTCCAAATACAGGTAGTCCTCAATTTATACAGTTCATTTAGTGACTAAAGTTACAATGGGACTGAAAAAAAGTGACTTATGACCGTTTTCCAGAGTTACGATCTTTGTAGCATCCCCAAGATCATGTGATCAAAATTCAGATCCTTGGCAACTGGTTCATATTTATGACCATTGCTGCATCTCAAAATCGTGTGATCACCTTTTCTGACCTTCTGATAAGCAAAGTCAATGGAGGGGGAGTATGATTCACTTAACAACCGTGTTACTAACGTAACAACTGCAGTGATTCACTTAACAATTGTAGCAAGAAAGTTTTAAAATGGGGTAACCTAATCAATCAATTTTAATGTTTTAAGGCAGGGGTGGACAAATGTGGCCTACAACCTGTGGACTTCAAATCCCAGAATTCCTGAGACAGCTTGGCTGTCTCAGGAATTCTGGAAGTTGAAGTCCACAGGTTGTAAAAGGGCCACATTTGCCCACCCCTATTTTAAGGGATTCATGCACTGGTCAGTCAAGGGACAATAGTTTTGAAAAATAAGTTCCAATCTGGGGGCAGCAATTTTTGAAAGGGACCTCCATCTGCTTCAGAACAACCCAGAGGCATCTGTGGGAAAAGCTGGGCTGAAGGTGCTTAGTCTGACCTGTGAGGACTGTTCTCATGTTCATTGTTGGACCTTAAAGCAGCAGTCGCTGACATTCAATAAGCTGAGGAAAAAATTTCTAGCAAATGCTGTGCTCATCAGGGGAAAATAAGCATGTGATTCAATCACAGAACTCTTTATTGTTCCAATAAAGGTAATCCTCAACTTACAACAGTTCACTTAGTGACCATTCGAAGTTACAACGGCACTGAAAAAGTGACTTAATGACCGTTTTTCACACTTAACGACCATTGCAGCATCCCCATGGTCACATGATCAAAATTCAGAGGCTTGGCAACTGACTCGTACTTATGATGGTTGCAGTGTCAAGTGGTCACCTTTTGCAACCTTCTGACAAGCAAAGTCAACAGGGAAAAACAGATTCACTTAACAACCTTGTTACTAATTTAACAACTGCAGAGATTCACTTAAGAACTGTGGCACAAAAGATTGTAAAAAGGGGCAAAATTCACTGAACAAATGTCTCACTTAACAACAGAAATTTCAGGCTCAATCATGGTCGTAAGCCAAGGACTACCTCTACAGTAGCAGTGCTTTTCTCAGATAACGGTTTTGGGTCTAAGTCTTGGGAATCTAAGTAGGAAAGGAGGTCAGGATGCTACTGCA